AGGTTCGCTACAATCACTTAGTGTTAGAAATTCACTATATATACATATAGAAGAATCATTCCCTGCCCGTACATTACCGAGTTTCGTCTAAGGCAATGTGCTGGTACACATTGGCTGGCTGCGTCCCCAAAGAGACAAAGTGCATGTAACATTGGTAGATTTTTGCAAAAATTTTTCTACTAGCCTATTGACTGTTGACGTTTCTATGCAATCCGCACGATATACCTTTCGTCTTTCTTCTGAGCGTCCAGATAGAGCGCGTTTATTGCTTCAGTTAGCATCGTTGGACGTTGGCTGTTTTCCTCTAGTTACGGAGGCAAACCACCGTAACAAAAGGGTAGCACCTGCACAGCGACAGGAGCCTGCGGCTCAAGCTGGCATCGCGGACAACAGCGCGAGAAGCAAGCACGTTTTTTTTCTAATATTTTGCTTTGTTCTGTTTTTGGCCCTTGGTAACAGCTGTTTGGATCATAAGGAAAAGCATGATGTTTGCGTTACAAAGCAGTTTTGTAGGCAGCGCCACCTAAACGCCTACCGACCATGTCTGCGGCTGTGTATTGCAATGTATATATAGATATGCATCGGTTATTATATATACACATATAGCACTTTCTGTTTTGTTTGCCGGTGAGATCTCTATGGTGAACTTCTATTCGTCGTTCTTACAATTGAACACCGCATATGTAGTTCGTAAATTCCACATAAATAGACTCGAGTGGGATTACACAACATAATAGAAAAATAGGGAATATATAGGTAAATAAAAATATTTAAAAAAATGTAATTTTTTTAATGGAGCAGTGAATGGTATCACGCACTTTGTCATATCAAGTTCCGATACAGCTGTCGCACACAAAGTTTATTATAAGTGACGTTGAAGATTAGAACACGAAAGCGCTCAACTGATGACTCCAGAAGCTGGGGGGCTTTTAAAGGTGATGTAATATAGAATAGTATGCAGAAAACTCGCATACATAGGTAATATGTATAAGACTCGCCGTTATGTTTTTGCATTTACGTAAGCAGATCTTTTCAGAACCTACAATTCGCAGCTATTGTATTATTGGTAATAGAATTCTATGGCAAAGCTGAGTTTGTCCGTGCAGTCTGTGCATGACGTTAATAGTGCCATATTATTATACGATGGCACGGTACCTTTATCATCAATAGCAGGCGCACCATCTTCACGATCACCAACGTCAACATGACGCTTACGCCATTCATTTCAGTGCTGCTATCGGAGGTTATTTTGTTTCTGCTGTTGCTACCTTCGAAATAAAGGCCCAACTTGTTACATAGAGCCACCTACAACAGATAGGCTTATGTAATTAGATCAGTACACATTAGATGGTCCATGTGAAGGCTATGGTCAATAATGATATCAGGTTATGACTGTGTTCGGCGCAGGCAAATTATGGACGCATGGAATAAACGTCACTACGATCACTACTCAGCAGGAACGCCGCCTAAGCCGCTGACGCGACTACTGATGAAACTCAGTTGCTGGTCTCTCGAGCCCCACCTACGACCGCCCCGTCGTTGAGCGATGACAGAAAAGTGTTGCCGGCGGCGTGGGATCACAAACACGTGCCGACTCCACAGACATCAACCATTGCATACGAGCGTGGCTTTCTCGTTTGTTCGATCGCCGCGCGCTGTTTGCCGATGGTTCGAGTTACCCTTTCACCAGCCATTGGGCGTCTTCCTTCAGCCTTTTGCATACGTGTCCCGGTTGGAGCACACCGTATGCTTTCTATTATACACTCAAGCTATACCCGTCAACACGGCAGTCACACCCCCCACTCCCCACGGTGGTAATCCTCTATAAACCTATGGGAGCCGTGCCGGCTGTACGTTTTCTCGTCACTGTCTCGTCTCCCAGCAAGTAGGGCTGTCCGCCGAAGCATATAACGTCTACCAGCCAAGCGCAGGACCGCAAGGGACACCTATGCAGAAAAAAAAAAGCGAACAAAGAAACATCTATATATCGCTTTAGTGTGGATGGCACACCTTGTAGACGAACGTACCGGGACAATACGAGGTGCAGGAAAGGGATAAAGGAACGACCATGTTAATACTACAAGGAGATTCTCCCGTACATTCGAGAGAAGAGTGATGAGTCAGTGATGAACGATTCTTATGGAAGCTTTCACGCTTCCTGCTCTTTCAGTTCGCTGCGGTCAATAACAAGTTAGGAAAAAGTTGATAAAAAGCAATTGCTGGCAATAATATTTGGCAGATTCATTGACGCTCTAGTAGATTCTAGAGTTTTTCTTCTATTTCGGTATTGCATGATTTTACAAAGTTTCACAGAAATAAAATACAGTATTAAGCCATAGTAAGGACACATAGGGATTCTTGCCGTGGGGTTCTTGCGTCTTGGCCAACTTTCGCTGACTTCTTGACGCGTAGCCCTTTGAGGAAATCGGCGCAGCGGTCTTTCGTTTGCAATAATTTTTTCAATAGCAAAATTGATTTGGCCTAATCAGCAGACCGTTCATCGCGGCTTTAGATCGCTTTAAAGAAACATTGTGGTAAGATCGTGAAAAAAATATATAGGCGACATATATGCCTTAAAGGGGCTAAAGGTTCTACGCAAGTGTGTGAATACAAAGTTGTTGAAATGATCAAAAAAAAAACATTTATAGTAGAGTGACCAATTGGAATATCATCTGAAAGCCTTCGAAAAGCCTGTTTACTATTTTTTTTTTAATTACCCGAGGTAACGTGCTATCAAAATACTCGATCGATTTACGCAGCTATGTTGAATTTAAGGGTACTGCTATGATATAGACATAACGCGGTACAGAGTCAGGAGAGCGAATTACAACGTCCAACGTTGACGCATTACTCATAATGCAAAAATATAACATACGTTATATACGTAAAAAAATATATATATGCAAAATATAAAAAAGAATATAAAGTTGTATGATACCTGCTTGACAAGCGATAAAACAAACATTTTATTGTGTTTGCCTACAAGAGCAATTCTCTGAAACACTCGCTCCCCTTGTATATATGTATACAACTATCTACGGTACGTGAACAGCGAGTGTACTGATAAAAGCAGAGTTTGATTGATTCACGTTACTTCCTCTATCAGGAAATCCCTTTATCGCTGAACACCAACCGTTAAGAGTAACTATTTATGAACAGCACGCGCGCACATCCTGCGGGAATAGACGCCAGTCATTTTCTCATAGCGAATATTCCATTTGTACGATACATCAAAGCTTGATTTGCGGTAATAAGTTATACGACAGACGATTCAATGTCACACGGGGTGTCCCTACGGAGTGACACGTATTCACGCCATCTATCTACTGTAAGGCTCTATAAAATAGAAAGTAATGCTTGTAATTCCACTTTGCTTTTTTCATCGAGATCACCGTGTGTGTGTGTGTGTGTGTAGTTTACGGCACTTATGAAGCAACCTACCGGTTACGAAGGCAGATTTACGTAGCCGAAATCGCAGATACTCGGCACTCTATATTTATATTATTAAAATATGGCGGTATTGGGACCATTAATTCGAAACTAAAGAGCCTTTGGTAAGTGGTTCATGAAAGCTGTTCAAGTACACTCAGGATAGGTCTGCTTGGACACCGTATCGTTGTGCACGGACTAGAGTGTTGTATTGCACGCACGTTCTTGCTTACTGTAAGAAGCGAAGTTGATATACAACGACTAGCTTCGATACGTTTGTACAGGCGTCCATAATGCATAACTCGAGTAACAGAAAACAAAAAAAATATAAGCCCGCCATCGGCCACGATCGTACAAAATCAAATCCTACCTATTCAGCCTGACTGAATGCATCAAGCAGTGTGTACGCGCTTTCCATCTAATGACTATAGCGCTTGACCCGCTTAAACGTTCAAGTAGCGGAATATTTGGATTGTCTCGATTAGTGCTTCCAATGACGCCGGCACGTGGGTCGATGAGGCAACGAGTCCCGGACACTCGTTAAAAAGATGGCCAATTATGTAGATCGTTACTGACAAAAGTCTTCGCAGTAGCAGCGGGAGCATCAGTAGCAGCGCTAGTCGTGGCGGTTGAAACCCCTATTGAATCTGTATGCAGTGCAGATACGATAAACTCAACTGGATTTTTGCCCCGCGCAGACGGACGTGCCGCTCGCACAACCTGCCTAGTCGAGCACGCGTCCTCTGAACCCATTCCAGCAGGTAGCACCGCACAGGTCATCGGTTTAAGGTTTTAGAAACGCAGTCTCGCCCACGCCCTCAAATTAATGACTAGAATAAACTGAAGACTCGACAAAAATAAAACATATATAGAAAGCTTGCCTTAAGGCTTAAAGTTTACGATTGGGCAGCGCACGTTGCGTATAAGTTTCATAGCTGTTTCTGTGATAAACTTTTCAAGTTCAGCGAATGGAATTCAAACATTAACAGCTACAACATTCGGCTTCAACTACGTCAAAGATAGAACATAGGTTAGAACGGGTTAGAGATATTAGCTAGTTACATAGGAAATGTCGACAGAAAAATACATGACGGCCGTACGACTGCTGGAAGTAATAGGAGTATGTTTCCGTCCTTGACGTCTAATTGCTTTGCCGAATAATACATCGATTAACGATCGTTGTATCCCGCAGCGGGTATATTCGTTAGTTGCAAATAAACAGCAAAAGTACACTACGAAGAGTACGGCAAAGCTTGTTCAGGGAAACACACCATATCTTAAACAACAAGCAACACTATCTATGTACCGCTTTGTCGAAAAGAGATTAATGGGCCAAGAGAAGTGCGAAGTAGGCCGAAGTGCGAAGTAGGCCGAAGTGCTGAAAATAGCCGAGTCTAACATTCAGTGAGCATTCTCAAAGCATGTCCAAAGATTAGATCGAAAATAAAAAACTATAATGTGCCAATTCAAATTTGGCGCCCTTATTGTCAACTAGTTGTTATATGTACTGAGACGCTGCTCTAAATCTTTACAGGAGTAAGAGCGTCAACCTAATCCCTCGGAACAAAACTTGCTGTGTAGCCTATCCAAACCGTCAATATTTCACTGCGAAAGGGTCGTTAGTCTAGTTTTGTCTACGTTCAAATAGCAATATGGACTCAGATTGAAAATAGTCCCACACCCAGGTTGGGATTCTTACGCTGCAGGGTAAGTCGTTGCGTATAGACAGTACAAATGTCGCTTCATACTATTTGCACCTTACGTCTCATATCCATAATGTTAAAACGTATTACCAATGAGTCTAAAAAAAAAGGAACGTTTGCAGTAGTCAATGTATTAGTAAGATTTCCATTATTTTCATTCCTGACAGAGGAGCATCGGAGAGAATGGAGCTTACCTTCTAGTTTCGCCTTGCTCGAAGCTTTGCCATGTAGGGCCGAAGCTACATTTTCAACAGTTCAACCTCCCCTTTGAATTTTGGGCGTCCCATTGGGAATAGATGACCATCTATATTCATTTCCAACGAGGCAAGCTTATTGAACCAGAATAGACTTTTGAGAGAACCCATACCTAGCATAGTCTATCACACGTTTTTGTTGTCTCCTTATGTGATATTAGTGCAATATCTCGTGCTGAAAATGCCTCAGGTTTTAATAAAATTGAAATTTTCTTCACCACACAAATCTTACTGGAAAAAAGCTATTTAAGCTTAGTTCATGATAGCTATGCACACCCATGTGATTACTTGAGCAGGTGTCAATTGTGAAATAGCAGCATACGACCCTGTTTCCATTAACGTTGATGTTTTAGCCCTATTTTAGAACAATTACATAAGTTAAAGATATTTCCGCCGTTTGCCTTGCCACGTTATGGTTTAAAGTTTGCTCAAACTGTTTACATACAGACTGTGCGAACTAGAAAAACTTGAGATCAAAATCTGAGAAAAGCAATTGTCATACTTTGTTTATTTCTCTTAGTACGTTCTTCGCGTCCCTTTGTGCATCATCTGAAATTTTACTTAAGTTCTCATACAAATACATTATGTATATATTAAAAGTTTAGTTTGTGACCTAATACAATGAAAAACTTAAAATCGTTCGCCTGCTTGTAGCTCGTTCAGCTGAATAATGACTAGCTCCTTAACAAAACAGCTTAGTAATCTTGTCAAATAAACGTAACCCTAAAGCAATGCGCCCGTGTACCCGAAAGTGTAAAAATAAACAGTATTATTTGCCAACTGTATTAAACTGCTGCAAACGCACAATCAATGTACGAAGCATCTAGGCTATCTTATTCTTTGTCAATTTTCAGGCCTAACCGACTAATATATCGCTCTATGATCGCATATGCTACAGAATCAAACTAGACGCTCTTATTAAATAATATTTCGTCTCATTAACTGCTATACTTAGTCATTTATTCGGCAATTTTTCTTATCGTACGCAGGTAATATATTTCAGTCATATAAAATGGATAATCAATTCTTGAGGACGTTTCGTCCTCACCATTGGAGTAACGCACGCAGCGCAGTGAAATTCCGCCAGGTAGGGAAAAATTGTTTACCGAACACTGTAGAGTAGAGAGAGAGAGAGAGAGAGAGAGAGAGAGAGAGAGAGAGAGAGAGGGGGGGGGGGAACAGATATTTTCGATAATACTAAGAAAAATTACGTGTTTTCAAAATGTTTTGAGTAACCGCTTTCTGTCTGTGAACTATATGAAGCTCTTGTAGATCTATCTACTTTGACAACGTTTACTAAATGTCAAAAAATAGGACCAGTGTCGTCATCCGCGCTGACCAGAATGCAGAAGGCATTCAGGGCCTGGGCGAGCATCGTTTGAGCAAAAGTTCATCCGTACACCTATTAACTGTCGTAGCTCTACAATGAACGCCCCGACAAGAGAATTACCCGTACAATTTTCGATTTGTTATTTTTCAACGCTTTAAAAACGCCAGTCAACTCTTCCAAACGTTTGCTATTTATAGATAATTGAGATTTCGTAGATGAATATTGGATTCTGCTAGTAAGTCTTTGAGGTGACAGTCGCAATCATAACGAAGAAAGTCAACAAAAAAGAAAGGATGAGTGTTATCGAGACAAGGAAAAAGAGATGTCGGAGAGCACATTGAAAAATTATACGTTTTCCTTTTTGCCTGTCTTTCACCTGTGTCGAACGAAATAAGGCCGGGAACTGGGCCCGACCATGGTCTCGAGAGACTTCTCACCCTTTTCACTATATAGCCGCTACACCTATAATATGTACCCGATCGGCTCCGTGAAGTTCAACCATCGCCCCCGTCCCCGCCGCCGCCGTCGTCGTCGTCGTTGTTGTTGCTGCTGTTGTTGTTACTGTCAGTTTAAGACGCCTTGTCGAGTAGAACCCGTCTTTCAACCTCTACTCCTCCACATATTATCAACTTTCATGATGCGAAAGGTCTCAAGTCTCAATCCTCGGCACACGTTAAGCCTTCGAGCCATTCCTGCTGCTCATCCAAAATAGCGAACGGATACAGGTACGTCAGCCCTCGATCTAACGTCTTACTGCATGATCGATGACAGCGTATGAGAACGGCGTATGTACACTGCTACTTCGACTACTGTTTATGAATGGCGCCCGGAACCTTGCTCATAGGCGTTCCTCGTATACGATGATCGGCCAGCAGGCGATCGGGACCTAGTACGACTTGTCTGTGTCTATATTTCTGCGTGTGTGTGTTTGTGGTCAGACCGATAGCTGGCGGATCGGAACAAGCATGAGCTCTCTTCACTTTTATTCATGAACCTCGACGGCCAGAGGAGCGCTTCTTTTCTAACCAGGGTTATATAACATTGCTTGTTTCCTTTGTTGGCTCTTTATATAAGACTCTGCAGTAAATGCCAGAAGCAAGTAAAGGAAATATAGGGTATTCGTGTACTATTATTTTGAACGGCAACAGAATGAGCTTTCGCGAAACTGCGCTACTTGCAGCGTTCGTATCATTCCTCAAAGACACGAAGAGGTATTCTACTGGCCAATGGGAGAAGGTTTCAGTAAACAGCCTTCGTTAAATATCCAAAAAAATGCTGGTGTTTCTCATCTTCGAAATTCTAAAATTGCTACGCCAAGCTGAAGCCACAAGATGCAGAAGTCCTTCTACCCCTGTTTTTCGTATAGTTTCGTAATAGTTATTTGTTACGATGAGTAATTCAAGTTCATTTAAGTTCAAGCATGAGAGGGACATTTTTTTCGCATTGAATCAAGTCATTTTCACGTTGTGCGAAAACGAAGCTTCCGCGATCGTCGGTCTTCCTTCTCCCAAGGTGTCATCCTTACGTTACAAAGCTTGGACTGAGCAAACAAAATGATGAACGCCTTATTATTTGAAGTAACACTTACTTGCATTTGCATAAACATAGGTAATTAAAAGATCATGACCCTACTTAACCTTTTATTCTGGCGTATGTACATGTACAATGTTAAACAAAGCACGATATTTGTTGTATAGATGAAATTAGGACAAAAATATTTTTATCATGCGACCAATAGTAGCACTCTATATATTTGGAGACTAATGCCAAAGCTCGGCATACCTGCACGCATATATATGTTTAGTTTATCTGGTAATTTCATCAGATGAAATTAAACGTTTTCGTTGATCGCTCGAATATATATTATACGGTTCCACGTTAGAGCTACGTTTTAAAATATATACTTATATTACTAATCCTAATGTCCGCTCTGCAGAAGATCAAAGACAAAGAAATAAAGCAGATTCGCGTCACGTCACGAAGAGCATGACCGCTTCTCTTTCGCTCAAGTCGTCATAATCGCAACCTTTCCGACAACACCTGCCACCCTAATGTTGGCACTTGTATATTACGGGTTATATATATATATAGTGTTTAAAGAATGTACGGTTTTTTTTACTAGGGTAAGCTTACTAGGGTCGTATTCGTAAATTATCTACCCGCCAAAAATTTTGTCGACGCCAGCGTTCGTCGATGTGACCTGTCCTTTTGTGATATTAGTGCATGTATAAACATACGTGCTCGTGCTGTCGGCAATTGAACACTAGACTCTTACAATTTAATGAAAGCAATTAATGTACATAATATGGTCCAAACCCGACCCTTTTATCTTCATTCATCAAGGTATAGATAAGTTTTTTTATATCTGAAAACATATTTAGTTACCGAAATCGATCCATGAACAGCCAGTTGCACCAGTCTTAAATTGCGATCAATTGCAAAAACGTTCCTTCGAAGCGTTCTTCGAAAGGTGGTGACTTGAATGGTTTTTCCGGAAGAGCTTCTCGGACTCAAGTTTGCTTAGTTCTAAGGATGTTGTTCATTCTGCAAGAGGATCGTAGCGTTTAAGCATACTTAAGCATACAGTGTCGTTAAAGCTTTCTGGGGGCGTTTGGGGCTGGGGATGGGGTGGGGGCAACCGTGGCAAATAAATTCATCCCTACTTTTTACTGTAACACGTGGTGGGTGTTATCTTGAATTATTATCTTGGCGTCCATAGCTGACTATGGATACACATAGTAACTGGGGCTCATCATTATGTCATTTGATAGTTCTCGATTAACATTGCGTTCGACGTTCTGGACCTCAGAATTTGTAAGTATTTTTAATCGCGGAAGCCGGTTTTTAACCCTGTACTACTTTTCTGCTACGACACAACGAACCTGTCAATAGATACATTTACACACCGCAATTCCTACGCACTACTGTCGCTTATGCCACACCTTTACGATAACGCCCAAGAGGCCAAGATTAGAAAATATCGCTATTGATGATTAAAGAAATTGATAGTAGGATGACTTTTTTCCGTCATATGTTGAACAGCAGAACGCTTGACCGATGTTATTATTGGGCCTATGGAGACCTGAGTGTACCTGGCATTTCTAATCTTTTGCGTTTGATAAATTGTTTTCTGCCTGTCAAACCATCGTCGTATTCATTAACGTCCTAATTGCCGTACTATCGTCGAATACGAAAGATAGAAGTGCTAACACGTTCAAATGGCTGATAGTGTTTTGAAGCACTAAAAGTTCTGGAGGATTACCTTACATTTTATTTGGGTAGTTAATACTATGTGACTATACTTACCGTCCTGCTGGCCGACGTACACGCTCAGTCCCACGTGGCGACACTGCCGTTTATCGGCTGTTGTTGTTAAATGACAACTTGGGTCGTCAAGCGAAACATGAACATGTCTAAACTCCTGGGTACGACAAGTGCGTTCGAGGCTAGCGTAAAGGTAAAATTGGCTAACTTTAAAATCATTTAACTGTTAATATTATAAATAAAATATGCTTAATGGAGCAAAATAGGCTGATTTTCAGATCGAATCGTGCAATCCATCAGTGAACCTAACTAGGGTTAGAAAACAGCGCAATTTCCTTCTTCTCGTTTTATTGTGTGCTATATATAAGCCTGTAAAGTTTGCGAGGATGAGCAGGCTTTGCATACGGATCGAACATAGATAAAGTAACGTTGAATAACCTTAGCAGCAGAGTTCGTCTGCAAATAATCGTGTTATAGCGCGATTATTTAAAATGAAATGTACGTGTTAGACTCGGACGCCTGGCTAGCGTATCATTGGACCGGCGCAATCGCTGCGAACAAGCTTGACCTGTTATGAATTTTGAGTTCACTGTTAAAAACATACATGAGAAAAACACAGCATTGCAGAATAGAAATACCTATAGTATAGAAGATACATTATATACTAATACGCCAATCCTCAACGCTTCACTTTATTCATTGAGTAGAAATTGCGTTTTCAGATAGCACAGTCTCTTGGACGGTCAGTCTAAGACGGACAGCTTAAAACGGTCATCGGTAATCAAAACAAAACACAATACCTGATTTTGAAGACACGATGATATTTCTACTTTATTCTGTACGAGTTGCCCGAGCGACTTACGCAAGAACATAGATTAGTTCTGAAATGGTGATGTTTTTTTAAAAAGGGGCGCTGAGCACAAGGAATTCGTCTGTAAAATGCTATCACGAGTTAAATATAAGACTACTCTGTGACAACTGACCCTGTGCAAATTAGCTATTGTTAGAAAAGGGCGGGCTTTAAGATGTCGAACTTCAACAAGCGTTCTATATTGATTTTTTCAGTGCTAATGATCGGGTGTATACGCGCCTGCATACGCACCACCTTCCCGCATGGGATCTTTCCTTACCGTAGCTTTCATCTCTCCACCGATTGATTATTTCCTGACTATTAGACAAACTCTCCCATCGTCCGAAAACTCTTAGTCAGTAACTTAATCATAACTTATGCTACTTGTTGTTTTCTTTATTCTTGCCTTAAAAGTCCCCTTTTCATTCATTCGGATACAGAAAGGTGCACTTGAAAGGATTACTAACCATTCGTCCTCTTTGCTAAGACCAATATTTTCTTTACAAGCAAAGAAGGCTGGCAAAAGAAAAACAGAAATTTAGAAAGGAGAACGCAGTCAATGCGTTCCTACCATGGCAGTCTCACGTGCATCATCGTCGTCGTCGCTACCGTCGCAGTATTATTATAACGATTTGCTCATCGCCTCCTCGACTCGTACCCCTTTTAACGCTGTCAAATTGTCACTTTCGATCACGTCTCGGGCGAGAAATCGAACGGCCATTTCCTCAACCGATCGAAAACTCGGTGTAGATGTAGACCTATCGATCCTTTTTTCCGAGATTACCGCCTATTTTTAACGTAGTCCCTTTTGGCAAAATATTACCTAGAACAACGCTAGTTTTTTTTTTCATTCTTGCTCTTTTTCGTCACACCATTGTTTTGCTTTGAACCGTTGTTGGCTTTTCCGCCCCGCCCTCTCTCCGTGACCACCTTCCGTTGCCAAAATTGTCATCGTTCGTCAAAAGACTTGGGAATTGCAGCCACACAAGCGTTCGCATAACCGCCTTTGCGGCAGCGGCCTCGTCCATACTGCTGCCATCAATTTGATTTCATGCAGTTGTTTTTCTCCGATCAAACAACGCGGACAGGGAAAACGTTTGTCTTGCCCAGCGACCCAAGCGGCTCGATATCTGCGGTAAACAACAATCAGTGCATTATCATTGCGTGGATGGTGAGAAATATAAATCTGATCTACCATTCAAAAGCCAGTCCAAAGGTCCATTCAATCCATCTGGGCTTCTTTTCGACACGCGCCCCTAATGAAGGCTGCTGCAAGGAACCATTTCTATATCAGGCTTGCTTGTATAGGATTCCCGAAAGGGTAGCTGGTTGGCTGGTTGAAAGAATTATGGGTAGCGGTAGAAATTCTCCTTTAGACGTTATAGCTTCCTTTCGATACGTCCCAGGTTGGTATCTTACTACATGTTAGTTTCAATACAGCTTTCCTACCAGATCAGGCAATTTTTTCCATATAATCTTTATAAAATGTTCATTATATCTAGTACCCATCAGTAATATTGAGTAGTTCCAGTATTACTTGTCTAGTTGCATATGCCAAATGGCAGACAGATGCACCGCGTACTACATCTCAGGGCCTTAACATACACCTTTCCGTACCTGTTAACAGTTATATCGTTCACATGTATTATTATGTATATTATGCATGAGGTCTCCGTTTGTGACTGTGCATATCTGAAAGAAAAAAAAATATCATTCATATGGAGACTGCCTCAATTGATCTATTTCGTTATAGGTGCCATCTGCACTGCAACTGGTTTCTGGCGCATTTTCCGGTTATTTCTGTTATCTCAGTGTTGAATACATGTTGTGAACGTTTTAGTCGTGTCCAACTACAGGGGGCGAACAGGACCGAAAGGCCAGAAAAGGTCCAATTTTGTTCGTAAGGCTTTGAGACAGCCGTGCCGAAAGAAAGACACCTAACAGTAACGAAGGAGCCACCGCGAACTGGCTGGTGAGCGAAAACACTATGTACACATATAGCAAAGCACGGTCATTCATAGTCACTCGCTGCCGCAGGCCGGAGGGACACTCAGTTAGGGGCTCAGCAAACGCAACTTGGCACACAAGTAGATAGACGTAAGAGGATACAGAAACGTCAATGACACTGGCATACCTTGCGTGTATGACGTGTGCGTTTGGGGTGGGGGTGTGTTCGAGGGGGAACAACGGTAGCGTGAGTACAAGGTTCAACTAAAATAGCAGCGAATAGCAACACGCTGAGTAAGTGTATTGGCTGGATCGCTGGCCGACTGACTGGTATATCTAGCCAAAGAATCCCTTTGTCAGTTATAGTATCAGCAGTAGTCAACGAGAGCAGACTAGAGGTACTCCATGTTAACGAGTGAAATCATTCTAAGGAGGAGGAATAAAAGAGTCGGAGAACGTCAAAGGAAAAAGAGATATAGCCTGGCACCCATTACAGCAAAGAGCCCTCGAGGGCAACCCATTACTATGGCTGGTTGCTCGAGAAGGATGCTAGCGCCGCATTCACCAACAGAAACAACAAAAACAATATGTGTCTCTCTAAGGACAGCGCATGAGACGCTGGAACATTTGTTACACATGTAGTTATTTACGGCATCTGAAAACATTGAAACAAGTGGAAACATCTGCACTAGAGTTAATATTATTATTCAAT